TGGGTGGGCCTGGGTCAGGCAATGTAAAGGACTTCTCAGGAAGCGAGGGCTTCTCCCAGGAAGAAAGGTAAGATACAGGCTTGATGGAATTTTAGGAAATTGGTTCATGTCTCATGGTTGTTGGCACTGGAAAGCAGCCGATGCTCCAGCAGATGGGGCGTTTGCCTGGGCTCCCTGCAGCCCCTGCAGCCCCTGCCCCTGACCTCCCCGTCTGGTGTCGCAGGCACGGGCGAGAGCGGGAAGAGCACGTTCATCAAGCAGATGCGCATCATCCACGGCTCCGGCTACTCGGAGGAGGACAAGCGGGGCTTCACCAAGCTCGTCTACCAGAACATCTTCACGGCCATGCAGGCCATGATCCGCGCCATGGAGACCCTGAAGATCCTCTACAAGTGTGAACAAAACAAGGTGAGGGGCTGCCGGGGTCCGAGGCCTCTGCTTGGGTGCTGGCCGCCTCGGGGCGGAGCTCCTGGCAGTCATGGATCTGCTCTCACCGTCCGTCTCTTGCCAGTGATGAAGTGGCAGGGGGCTGTGGGACTGGCTTACTGGTTAGACGTTAGCGTGGGAGTGCACGGTTTTGGTGCCGCTGTGGTTAAAATGAGTGCAGGTACTTACAGTGTAAGCTGCAGGGGAGGCAGGTTTCCCGTACCCTGTGTGTGTGAATCACCGGGACCCCTGCAGGCCTGGGCGTGTGCTTTCATGGACCTTGCCCCCAGCCCTGGGTGGCCCCTCCCTCTGCAGTCTCTTCTGGTTGTCACACCTCTGGACCATAATTTATCAGCCTCTAGAGCAGAAGTCAGCTAGAGTAGAGCAGGGGTCGACTTCTACAGCCCGGAGCCAAGGCCAGCCCTCCATTTGTTTTTGTCAGTCAAGATGGGGGTCTGCATTCATTTACCAAATGTTTATGGACTGTCTACTTCACAGTCAATACTCTTGGCACCAGCAGTCAAGAAATCAAAAGATGAGCTGCTTTGGGAAAGTCTGCTGTAGGTAGGGTGCTTCTCCAGAGTGCTGAAGAGCAATGATGTCAGTTTAGAGACTAAGGTGGAACTGAGCCAGGCCATGGTCTTCTCAGTTGCTTGCTTTGCTTCTGAGAACTGGGTGGTGACTAAGGATGACAGCAGAATCAGTGCCTTTGAGTTGTGGTGGTTGAGGCATATTGAACATACCATGGACTGCCAAGAGAACAAACAGGTCTGCCCTGGAGAGAGTGAAACCAAGTTTCTCCTTGGAGGCAAGGGTTTTGAAGCTCTGTCTCACATACTTTGGGTATGTGGCCAGGAGGGACTAGTCCTTGGAGGAGATCTTGCTTGGAATGCGAGAGGGTCAGTGCAGGAGAGGAAGACTCTGGATGAGGTGGATTGACACAGTGACATTGGAGGCCGGTGTGTCCGAGGCAGTGAGGTTGGCTCAAGATAGGACCGAGTTCAGGGCTGCTGTGAGTTGTTAACTGGATGGTGCATGACAACAACTACTACCACAGAAGGGAGCTCTGGTGGCTGAGAGGTAAGAAGCTGCACTCCAATCCTTAAGGCACACGGGTTTAAATCTGCAAGCTGCTCACAGGAGAAGGATGTGCCGTCTCCTCCTGTGTGATTACCTGTCTCTGAAAACCCACTGGTGGGTCAGCTGTGGTTTGGTTTGGACTCAATGGCACAGAACCCCCCACCACCTACTACTATGTATACAACTGTGTCAGTGTGGGATGAGGGAAAGAGAAGCTTCCTGATAAAGTCTTAAGAAACTTCCAGGGACGTTTAACTGTGGTGGCAGAGCGCATGCAGCTAACCAGAATGTGAGCAGTTCACATCCCCCGGCTGCCGCTCTTGAGAAAGCTAGGCCTTGGGAACCGGCGAGGCAGGGTGGCTGTGAGTCGGGCTTGATCCAGCAGCAGGGGATTCGGGTTTATTGTGCCTGGAGTGACCGCTTGACAGAACGCGCTTGTTTTCCATGGAGAAATTGGTAACACTTTGTTTCCTGACATGAGTTGCCATCCTCTTGGGGTCACAGCACTGTTCCCACTCCCTCCCTGTGTTCCCCGTCTCCATTTGCCCGTCTTCTGGCCTGTGCTTGCGGCCGCTGCTCCCCTTTGGCCTCGGCTGGCTGGTGGAGCATGGCCCGCAGGGGTTCTCGTTCAGCCCTGTTTAATGGGTGATCTCCGGGAGTGGACTGAGTTCCAGTGTGCAGGGTCCCTCGGGCCACAGTCCCGGGGTCCCACCAGTCTCCAGCAGGCCACAGTTGTGAACCTGAGCCGCGCGCTGGGCGGTAGGAGCTGGACACCGTCCTGGTGTCGGTAGAGGAAGCTGTGGTTCATGGGGGCCCATCAGGCCTTGGAACCCAAGGTTTCCCTGGGACTCTGGCGTTCTTGATGCCTCTTTGCTCAGACAGGAGTCCAAGAGCTGCTTGCTTGGCTGTGTTGATAAAGCCTTGCGGACTCACAGGCCGTCCGTGTGCTCTCCTCATGGGCCTGCTTCACGGGGGCTTTTACTGTGGGGGCCTCCACAGAGGAGTGCTGGCGGCCACTGGACCTCGCTTGTCTTGGATGGATATTCATGGGAAACGTGAGGCAACGACTCCCACTCAGGCCGAACGGATGCTGCCTGGTGGCGCCGAGACCTGCAGCGAGCTTGCTGTCCTTCCTCGGGGCACAGCCCGCTTGTTAGGCCTGCTGCAGCGAGCTTGCTGCCCCTCTGCCCCTTGCAGGCCAATGCCCTCCTGATCCGGGAGGTGGATGTGGAGAAGGTGACCACCTTTGAGCACCAGTACGTCAACGCCATCAAGATGCTGTGGAACGACCCTGGGATCCAGGAGTGCTACGACCGGCGGCGCGAGTACCAGCTCTCCGACTCGGCCAAGTAGTGAGTGCGGCTGGGGGCCTGCGGGCTGTGCCGGCTGGGGGCTCGGGGCTCAGAGGGGCTGTCCCGTGGGGGGTGTGCCGGCTGGGGGCTCGGGGCTCAGAGGGGCTGTCTCGTGGGGGCTGTGCTGGCTGGGGGCCCGGGGGGCTGTCCTGTGAGGGATGTGCCGGCTCGGGGCTTGGGCTGTTCAGTGAGGGTTTTGCCGCCTGCAGGCTGGGGGACTGCTGTGAGGGCTCTGCCAGCTTCAGCCCTGGGGTATCTGGGTTGTTTGTTGAGAGCTGTGTTGGCTCAGGGTCTTGGGGGTTGTCCAGTGAGGGTTATGCCGGCTGCAGGCCTGGGAGCCCAGGGAGGCTGTACAGTAAGGGCTTTACCAGACATGGGGCTCCAGGCGTCTGCTCATTGAGGGCTTTGCCAGCTGTGGGGGGAGTTCCAGGGGGACTATCTGGTGACGGTTGTGCCGGCTGCAGGCATGGGGGTCCAGGGGGGCTGACCAGTAAGGGCTCTGCTGGCTGAAGGCCTCGGGGCCCAGGGGTACTCTCCGGTGAGGGTTGTGCTGGCTGCGGGCTGCAGTTCTTCCTCTATCCAGAGGTCCCCCAAGTCCTTTCCCTGATCCTCAGGGCCTTGTTCTCCAGCCTGGAAGGCCCTGCCTCTCCCACCCCAGACCTGCCCAGCTCCCAGCAGGGCCTGGTCCTTGTTACTGAATGGGAAGTGTCCAGGTTCAAGTTTGCCAAGCTTCTGCGTTCTGGGGTGGGGTCCTGTGTCCACCTTAGACTTTCTCATGTGCCCTGCATGCCAGCTCCCTCAGTGCACGCCCGGCTGTTGCCGCCTTCCATCCTCGGTGTCCCTGGGCTTCCTGGGCCCTCGATGTAGAGGCCAGCACGTGCCTGGGGTGTGAGCACTGGCCTGAGCAGCCCTCTCACATTCCAGCTACCTGACCGACGTTGACCGCATCGCCACCTCTGGCTACCTGCCCACCCAGCAGGACGTGCTGCGGGTCCGAGTGCCCACTACCGGCATCATTGAGTACCCCTTTGACCTGGAGAACATCATCTTCAGGTACCACAAGATGGAAAAACTAGTCTCTCAGGTCCAGTCTTAGATGACCAGCCTTCATGGCCACAGGGACAGATGCTCAGAGCTTCTGAATGTGTAATAGTGGCTCCCGGGCACGTTGAGACCAGATGGAGGGCTCCAGTGTCCTTTCAGGATGCGGGGCATGTGATGCTTTGGAGGTCTCCCCACTGCGGGTGTTACGGGCCAGGGGCCTGGGAACAACAGTGGACTTGCCAGGTTCTGAACTGAGGTCAGGGAGCAGGGATAGGGAGGGGATGAGCCCAGAGATCCCCAGAGACCACTGTCCGTTCCCTGGAGGACTCAGCCTCTACTGTTGTGAACTCTGAAGCTGTTGTCTCAGTGCCCAAAGGCCACCATCACAAAGTCCCCACTCTGGACAGCTAGGAGATGGGTGGCGGCCGTCCCTGAGACCAGAAGCCTGATGTTCCCACCCAGTGGGCTCTGTTCTCCTTCTGGGTGGGGGTGGGTCCTTCTGGTTCCTTCCAGCTACGACCCAGGTGTTCCTGGCTTGTGCCTGCAGCATACCAGTCTCTGCCTCCATGTTCAGGGGCATCTGTCCTTGGGTCTTCTGTAAACTGCTCATAGGATAAGCCCCCACGTGACGTACATCCCAGTGACTTTGTCTTCAGATAAGCTCGTCCCTGGGGATGGGGTTAGGACTTGAACTTGAGGCTTTGGGGACCCCTTGTGGTGCTGGACTACTGGAAGGTGCGCCCCGTCTGCACACCTGTGTCAGGAGTGGGTGACCAGCTGAGACCTTATGTGCCTGTGGCCTGTGCAGGATGGTAGATGTCGGTGGGCAGCGGTCAGAGCGGCGGAAGTGGATCCACTGCTTTGAGAATGTGACGTCCATCATGTTCCTCGTGGCCCTGAGCGAGTACGACCAGGTCCTGGTGGAGTCGGACAATGAGGTGAGTGTCCCGAGTTGTTGGGGGCCAAGGGCGGACACTGGACAAGGTGACACTGGCTGCCTCCTCAGTGAGTGCAGGGAGGGATGAAGCTTCTGCTCCCACCACGGCCAGAGCCGAGGTCGAGGGGAAGGACGTCGCCTCGAGCCCCCTGTTGCCGTCCACTGGTGTGAGGCCCCTCAGTGCCCAGGGCTGCAGAGCAGTGAGTCTGTCCCTTCTGCCCAGAACCGCATGGAGGAGAGCAAAGCGCTCTTCCGGACCATCATCACCTACCCGTGGTTCCAGAACTCCTCCGTCATCCTCTTCCTCAACAAGAAGGACCTGCTGGAGGACAAGATCCTCTACTCCCACCTCGTCGACTACTTCCCCGAGTTTGATGGTGAGTTCTGGGCTGGGCCCTTCCCGCAAACCCACCTTCCCATAGTGCAGGCCCCGCCTCCCTGCAGCACAGGCCCCGCCCCACAGCACAGGCCCCTCCTTACAGCAGCACAGGCCCCGCCTCCCTACAGCACAGGCCCCTCCTTCCTGCAGCACAGGCCCCGCCTTTGTACAGCACAGGTCCCGCCTCCTTGCATCACAAGCCCCGCCTCCCTGCACCTCAGGGTCTGCCTTCCTGCACCTCAGGCCCCGCCTCCTTGTAGCGCAGGCTCCACCCCCACAGCACAGACCCCGCCTTCCTACAGCACAGGCCCTGCCCCTACAACACAGGCCCCTCCTTCCTGCAGCACAGGCCCCGCCTCCTTGTAGCGCAAGCCCTGCCTCCCTGCACCTCAGGGTCTGCCTTCCTGCACCTCAGGCCCCTCCTCCTTGTAGCGCAGGCTCCACCCCCACAGCACAGGTCCCGCCTTCCTACACCTCAGGCCCCGCTTCCCTGCAGCACAGGCCCCGCCTTCCTGCACCTCAGGCCTCCTGGGACCTGGAGTCTGTGGCCAGCGCGAGGGACATGCACACCTCCATCCCAAAGCCATGTTGAGCATGTCCCTCACCCACACATACGTAGCAGCCCTACTGGGAGCTGTGTGGTCAGTGCTTAAGGTGTGGGGACAGGCAGCTGGACTTCGGAGGAGAAGGCTTGGTGCCTGTTTGGCCCTTGGACATAGAGCCTGGGTGGTCACTGCCAGACTCCACAGCCCTTGTGCCCAGTCCACTCAGGTCCACGTCCACGGAGCAAGAGCCCTAAGTCCCTCACCCCACGCCAGTGCACTGCCACCGTAAGCCCTAGGGGGCAGCAGAGGGCATGCCCAGGGCCACCTCCAGCCAGGCTGACCTGAGCCCCTAATGGCAGGCAGAGTGCTGTGTGGAGGGGTCCTCCAACCTGTCCAGTCAGCCCGCAGCACCCAACCCTCGCCTGGAATCACCAGGCATGTGGACCTGGGGGCAGAGCCATCCTGGGGACCTGCACTGTCAGGGATGCAGGAGGGGTCCAGGCCCAGAGCCACCCAGGGAGGGGTCCTGTAGGACACTGCTGGCGTTCACTGCTCGGCCAGCGTGGACTAGAGCCCAATGGGAGGGCTCGGCAGGGTCTGAAAGGGTGGAGTGGCAGGCTGGGTGAGTCTCCAGGGGAGTCAAGGCCGTGTGGCCTAGACACACGGGTCACCCCACATAGGGCTTGGGGTTGTGACGTGGGGACACCGTGAAGGTGTACGTGTCCAGTGTGAGCACGAGTGTATGTGGGCGTGGGGGACTCAGTCCCGGAGAGGCTAGGGCCTGGCGAGGCTGAGAGCCAGAGCTGCCTGGGCAGCACCTTGGTCCCTGCAGAACACAGCTCAGCCATGAAGGAGGTGCCCTGCTGGGCAGCCCCAGGAGATGGTGGGAGCAGGCAGGCAGGGTGCTGGTGGGCGTCAATGCTGCCTGACCCTGCTGCCCACGTACAGGGCCCCAGCGCGACGCCCAGGCTGCCCGGGAGTTCATCCTCAAGATGTTCGTGGACCTGAACCCCGACAGTGACAAGATCATCTACTCACACTTCACCTGCGCCACCGACACCGAGAACATCCGCTTCGTGTTTGCGGCTGTCAAGGACACCATCCTGCAGCTCAACCTGAAGGAGTACAACCTGGTGTGAGCCCCCGCCGCCCGTCACCTCGGCAGCGCTGGGACGCCCCCTTTCTACACTTCTGCACCCGCTCACCCGGCCCGGCGCCGCGAAGCTCCGATTTTGTTTTGTTCTTGTTTTTGTTTTTTTAAAGAAACACGTAACATGAGGGCCGGCCGCACGCGGGCGCCTCAGACCTCACCCCGGCCCGGCCGCCCCGTCCAGGCAGACGGTGGGGCGGTGGGGGCCCACCCCGCGCCCTTCGCGCCGTCCCTGTCGTCCTGTCCGCCCGTGGTGTCCTCCTGCGTCCGGAAGGTCCGGAGACTGCAGCCCGGCTTCTGTTTAAGTTATTGAGTCCTATGCACCTTCACGCGATGCTTTGCTCACACGACTTCATGAAGGGGGTGGGCGGCCCCCCCGTTGCCCACCCTGGGAAGTGCCTAACCAAAACAAACCAGGACCCCCAGCTTTGCGGGTCAAAGAGACACCCCCTGCCCTCCCTTATGTCCCCTGAGGAGACCCCTCCCAGACCCCACCTGGCCCCCGCACCCAGCCTTGGGGTCTGGGGTGGGCTGGGCTCTTATTTCCAGTGCCAAAACATGGCCAGTGAGGGGTCTCCAGAGGCTGTGGGGCCAGAGCGGAAACAGGAGGCGTCTGGAGGGCCCTCGCCTCTGGTGGGTCCATACAGTTTTGCTTTCTTCACCCACGTGGGAAGAGTGAGGTGGGGACGTTTTAGATTATTCTCAGGTCTGTCCCCCGAGGTGGAGTGAGAGGCCTGGGGTGCGGGGATCTTGGCCGAGGGGGTGTGCAGGAGCGCACGCAGCCCCCTCTGTCAGCCAGAACTGAGGTCCAGAGCTTGGGGTCCCCATAGAGCCCCACGCGCAGGCCTCCCGCAGTGACTGTGAAGCGGGCATGCCGGGGTGTGGGGACTTTGGTTTTGGGAGAAGCGACTTCGCCTCCTCCGATGTTGTCGATGGAACACTGCGGGGTTTCTTTGCATCCGGGTATTTTTGTTTGCACACGCTCACGGAAGGAATGAACTGCCAGCAATGCCTTGATCCCTTGAGAGTGGGCCCTGTGCCCCACCCCGGCGCTCCCTGCAGCCACTGCTCTTTAAGCACCCTCAAAATGAGACCATCTGAGAATCAGACCAGCCAAAGTGTTGTCCTGGGCACCCACACCCCTTTGTGCTTTGCTTAGGGCAGGGATCTGCTCTTGTCCGGGGGATACCAGGGGAGGCCTAAGAGGTGGGGTCCTTCAGAGTTGAGGGGCACTGACATTCCCGGGGTGAGCCCCTACTGGGTAAAAGAGTAGGGGTGCTACCCTCCTCACACCCATGTCCCAGAGGCCCCTTTCTCGATTCTGCTGAGGTGGGGCCTTGCCCTCTGCAGGTGGTCGACCCACTAGAGACTTGGGGTTTCCTGGAGCCACCACCCCCTGTGCCAGCATCTCCCAGAAAGGGAATTGGGTGTATCCCAGGACCCCTCTCCAACTGGGGACCTCTGAGAGGCCATGAAAGCCAGTCAGTTGGAGGAAGGGGGACACAGCCAAAGCCTGTGATAGTGTTAGCGCTTCCTGGGGGGACAGGGAGCCCAGCATTCCAGAACCACATGGGGGCCCAGGAGGGAGGGGCTGCCAGACCCCCGGACCACATGGAAACCCAGTTTGCCTGCATGGAGCCCAGGAGTGGAGGCAGGGCTGGTGACCCCTCCGCTTGGCCCTGAGAACCCGAGCCGGCTGTGTTCCGCAGGGGCGCACGTCGGGGCCGAGGTTTCGCTGTACTCTTGGTGGGTTCCTTTTCTGCGTGGCACCCTTTGAGGTGGGGGCCGCCTGCCTTTTGCGCCTGAGTCGGGCCACAGTTGCCAAGAGAAGTGAGTCTGCCGGCGCCCGGGTCCCCTGCTCCTCCGAGAGAGGTGTCGTGCCAATGCCCCCCTCGCGTCGGGGTCACGCTCGAGACGCAAGTGCCAACGGCGGACCCCTGTGGTCACACTTGTACATTACACAGCCCCGACCCAAGCCCGAACGGAACCTATTTAAGAAAAGATTGTATAAAGCGCCGTTTTTAAACCTTTTGTCGTTTGAAATGCATGTGTTGTCGTGCGTGTTGGGGACGGGAGGGAGGAGTTGGGGCGTGCCTGCTGAGAGCCATCCCCCCTGCGGCCAGTGGCCGCCCACGTCCCCGGCGGGTGGGCGACAGGCTGGTGGGGCCCTGACCCCCTAATCCAGAAATCCTGATGGAAATCAACTTTTCATATCTTTCTCCTGAAATGAACTCTCTGTTTTAAATTGGAATAAATTTTGTTCCTAAACGCTGTGGCCCCTTGTGTCTTTTATTTGCTGCTGGTTGAGGGTGAGGAGCCCAGGTGGGGTTCTGATAGGGCCAGCAGATCTCCAGGGCTCTCGTCCCCTTTCAGGCGAGAGCTGAGCTCCAGGAGCTTGGGGTGGAGGCGGGGTGACATTGTGCCTCACTTTTGGGGTGTTGGGGTCTGGACTGGGGCCCCACGCGCTATGGCTCTGTGCCTCCTTTAGGAAGGGCAGCCCCCAGCCCAGCCTTGATTTAACCCGTGGGACACTCCGTGTGCCTCCCGCCTTCACCGGGTTCATGAGATCCAGGGCCTGCTGGGCGCCAGCTCTGTCCTGGGCGCTGCCCCCTACCCCCCAGTGGCATGGGAGATGGTTCTGGTCCCCTGGCCGTGTTGGGCTTGAACAGAGATGGGCAGTGGGCGCAGTTCTGCCTCCTGTGCAGTCTCCAGCGTGGAGGGGTCAGCACGAAGACCAGTGTGGTTGTGACTGAGAGGAGGAGAGGACAAGGTGGAGGGGCCGGTGCACAGCGAGGAGGACAGGGGTGTTTTACCCGAGGGGTGGGAGCACCCTCGGCCCCCCGACCCCACTGTAGGCAGAGGAAGACTGGTGCTCACGGGCGCCCTCTGGTGACACAGCAGCCGGCGACTGGGAGGACAAGGCCAGGGGAAGGTGGGGGAAGGGCGTTCCAGGCAGAGGGCACAGCCCATGAGAAGCCCTGGGCAAGGTCAGACCTGACGTGAAGAGGCTAGAGGTAAGTGGACCAAGGGAAAGTGGAGGGAAGGACAGCAAGAAGACAAGGGGTGCAGGGGCGGGGTGGGGGCCTGTGCACTGCTGGGAACACTTCGACTTTGACCGGAGGAAGGTGGGAGCCCTGGAGGGCTGTAGGCAGAGGAGGGGCAGGTCTGGCTCCCTGCTCACCGGTGCCTTCTGGCTGCTGCGAGAACAGTCTGAGAGGGCGGGGGCAGGAGGCAGGGGCTGAGTAGAGGTGTCTGCACCTGTCCAGGTGGAAGCAGAGAGAGAAGAAAGCAGGTTCAGGAGCTAGAGGTGCTGGGAAGGGCACCTGGTCTGGCATTGCCCTGTGGAGAGATGCCCCGTCTGTCATTCCGCCTGTGCCCAGCAGGTGGTGGCAGAGACACCTGAGAGCCTTGTTCTGCTTCTAAAGGGGCCAGAGGCCTGGGAGCCGGTAACCAGTGCGGCTGACCTCCGGGTCAGCATAGAACGGCGCTCTATGGCTTGTCATTTCTTTGCTGTTGTTGGAATTTTTGTTGTTGTTGTTGAGAATATCCATGGCAACACCAATTCTACCATTTCCCCACATAAATTCCGTGACAATGATTAGTGAGGGAAGTTACGGAACCATCCTCGTTGCTTTTCTGAATTAATTCATCCCTCCTAAACATAAGCTCACTCACTGCCCCATGTCTGACCTTTTGAATGCTGCTGTCAACTTGATAGATAGGTCTTAAAAGAATGTAATACTCAAGGCAGATTTTTAAAATTAATTAGGCTAAACTATAATTTGAGTTTAAGGAGACTAAATAGGTTTGGCGTTTAAAGGTTGTCTCTGGGCAATAGTTTGGAGGGTCCAACCAGCCACGTGACTACGAAGTCTGGATTCCATGAGGAATTGAAATTCTGTTCTGCAGTTCTCCCCTTTGGATCAGAATTCTTTGAAACCTGTATGAATCTGTCCATAGGATATTCAGTGACAGAATTTCCCCCCCTTGTTTTGTATCATCAAACTGAATCCAACTGTCACAGGAGAAGATTGCGCCTCATTCTCCAGTGGACCATCTGGTGGATTGGAACCACTCACCTCTGGGATTGCAGTGCAGCTTCTTGCCGTTAGAGCTCCAAGTCATGTTTCTGAGGCACCTCTGGGTGACCTGAACCTCTAATCTTTCAAATTGCTTTTCTCAGGTGTGCCGCCCAGACTGGCCCTGTGATGTGTGGGCTTGGGGCACAATGAAGAGCTCTGGTGGGACAGTGACAAAGTGCTTGCTTGCTGACCATAAGATTGGTGTTTGGACCCTCCAGGCATTCTGAAAGAGGAAGAGGAGGGAGCCGGCCTCCACAGAAACAGACCTCCAGCCTTGGAAATGCCGCGAGGCCAGAGCATCGGCACACGGCTGTGGCTGTGGTGCAAAACGAAAGCAAAACACCCAGCTCAGAATACTGCCACATGTCAAAAGGGCGACCGCAGAGCGGGAACCGTTGATGTGAGGTCCAGGCCCACGCCCTCCTTGCCCTGGCCCACCCCCACCAAGACTAGAATTCTAGAACTCTCTGTCTTCACCAGGAGCCCTAAGGAACTGCTTCCAACTTGGCAGTCACACCTCCCGAAAGGTGAGATGTCGGGACTTGCCCAGGATGATGCTTTCACAGCAGGGGCCTGAGTCACCCCTCAAACACGGGCCTCAGACTCTCCGTCCAGCGTCTTATGTGCCCCTGCGGGCGCATCAGGGAACAGGGCCCGTTGGGGCCTGGTGAGCTGTTGCAGTAGGAATGCCTGGTCTTGTTGGAAAGACGAGTGACTCTCTCCCCAAGACAAGGTGGGGTGCACAGAGCCTGGGAAGCCACGGAGAAAGCCTGACTCCAGGCACCCACACTGAGGGCATCAGCTTCTGGTGGTCAGGAAGCAGGGGGTTAGTTCCCTAAGCTTTTGGAGATGCCCCTGTTCATGATAAAAAGAGAATATTTTTAAATACATATACTTATTTTTTACAGAATAT